AAAACAGACAGGTAACCCCACCGTACGCGTGAGGACACAAGCTTCGTTTCAACATATGGCATTTTTAAAAACGGAATTTTCCGTGGCAACCTTTTGATAGGTATAACAATATACATGCATGTGTGTTCATTCTGACACATGTAACAAAGTAAGCTAAATCATGCATCATTAAAAAAATGATATGCCAACAGTATTGTATAGAGCTGCATATGAAGAACGCCATTAAGGAAGCTAGTTTTAAGGTAAACAGAACCTAAGTACAACGATAATAGACTTTATTAGCAGTATTCAACACCAAAAACAGGTCTTTTGTCACAAGATTTTTGACGTTCCCAGCATTGTAACGTTTATGCGCGAATCGAGACCGTGTAAGTTCAACATGTCGTCCGCAATGAGAATTACAATTTATGAGCGCATACAGAATTCTCACGATGAAAATTTTCAAGAATCAAGACACTACCCTTGATTGAGTAACAAACATTACTGTCACCTTTCTTGTACTAGGACACCAGAGACAGTACTAGTTAGTATTTCGTACACCTGTCTTGAACCTAATGTATATGATCACCAGTATCGCTACGGCTTTGGCCAATCTGCGGCCATCTTGGATCCCGAACAGAACAAACAGTCGCCAATTAAACAAACCGCAGCTGCCAACAATGTGGCACCTCAAACCACCTTCTTCCCTCCTAAATACTTCTAGGAAGTGGTAAGGAACAGCCAAGGTCAATGCAATAATGGTTTTTGGGTCGGTGGGGAGTTGGCCCAACATGTGGTGTGAACTATGTCTTAGCAAACTTTGGCCGACATGGAGAGAAGCAGGTTGCCTGGAATGATGCCAGATTGTTTCCAGGGCCTAGGTACATACACAGGCCAGCATCTCAACTCCAGGCCCAACAAGCAAATTTTACCACAGACCCAGAAGGGTATAGCTAGCCAAAGGGATTTGTACACACCGCTCCATGTAGTACTGTCAGGTTTGTCAACCGCAACTTGTGTCAAAAACTCAGGCGGGGAATCGTGTACTTGTTCCCCGAGCATTCAAAACATAATCAACCGACGAAAAGAAGAACTAGATGAAAGCACCTTATATTTTCACGTTAGGTAGGAAACGCCCTTGAAAAGTTTAGTTATTATAGTGTGTGTCACTTTTAAATAACCTTGTTCAATTAAGTCATTATTTCGTGTTGTTAGTATGTAACGAGTATATAGGCGCCACCAACTACCCGGCCTAATGGGTCCTGCACCTTTTGGCCTAATCGGTTGGTGCGCTGGTTGTGGGTTCGATCCCGGGGGTCAGAGTCAACCTTCGAGTTACTGTCTCTTGTGTTACAGTCCCATACAATATAGTATCATACATAAACATTGTCCATCTAGCTGTTATTTGAAGCAGGCCCAGGGTGGCCATGGTTTGACAGCATGCCAGCACCAGCCACGCCTCAGGACATATGAATGCCTTCGTTGTTCTTGAAGATGGGTCGCCTTCAGGCGTCCGCGGGACTCGGCGCCAAAAATGATGAAACGTGCGGACACCTTCCTGGCTTCACCTAATTCATCAGGCCCCGCCCCCTGGCCAAACTGCCACGTCCACCATGTTTTATTTACGCTCAAGTGAGGAGAAAAACAGGTGCAGAGTTGCGCAATACCCCTCATCGAAAACTAAGCTCCTTTAATAAAACAACATGTGAGCACATAGTTCAGCCATTCCAACTATGTGACAGACAGGTTGATTTTGTTTTCTTCCACCGAGAAGGCTGTACAAAACTTGGACCTGTGCCAGAAACACACAATGGGATATGCAGGTACAAGGTACGGGACGGTACGGGCTATTGTTGGTGATACACGCCATACATATTTCATGTGGTTCTATATCCTATAAGCGTTCGACATGGGATGCTTTGTGGATATTAGAAATATTCATATTTCAATGTGAAACAAATGTATGAGTGACTCAATGGTCACTGACAAAGTAGGAATGTGAAGAAGACTTCTCCGGAATAAAAATAGTAGAATGTGGCTACTATAGTAGCCAGGAACGAACAACGAGGCATATACATAGTTCAATCGTAGTTGATATCATGCCTCAGCTTTGTTCAACTTGTGGATTTTTCCATATACTTGTGTGCGCGTTCATTTGTACTCACTCAGACTTTGTTTGTAGGTATAAACCTTACTTATTTAATACACTGTTGTGTCATATAATGTCTATTGTCCCATGCCCAGTCAAACCACAGTCACGACTTTGCTAACCGTGACCCCTAAAGAAGCCACGGAGAATTGTGTGCCAGTCATGTCCTATGTTTATCTATTATTGTACTCACGAGACATAATAGGGGATTAATCATCCCGATGTGCGTCAGAGAAAGCAATTAATCTTTCAGAACAAGTGGAGACGGAGTGTTTGATTACGACAGGCGTGACTACTCCACCTGTAATGAGGTAATCATCGCGGCAGTTTCCGTAGCGGGGATATTATCCCGGATGGGAGTTGAGAGCTTCGTGCCTAATTCCTCACCTCGGCATGTGCAGATTCAAGATGTGCGGTTGTGCAAGTCGAGACAACATGTACAGAGAAGTTAGATAGAAAGAGCTTGCCATCGATTCTTCATTGTCAATGCTGTCTGCCAAATGTTTATATAAAGCATTGTGCACAAAAGAACGCGGAGACATTCACAGATGGACCTGTGTGTGTCTAATTGGACGTGTTCACCTGAATAAAGCTACTGTTTTGAAGCGTTGATATTTTTCCTTCTGTGTGGCTGTTACACCTGCACGCCAAGGCGACTATGGACGGGCACGTAGACCTGTTGGTTCTTCTGTGGCAAACAGGGACAAACACATGGGAAATTTTATGGGGTCAAACTCAGGTCACGTCCTGATCAAGGTAAACGTTGACGTTTTGGCGGACAGGTGTAATCTGGAGTCATATTCTACGCCAGGTGTATCCTATAGCTTATCCACTTCATTCTTAGTAAATTTCGTCACAAATATAGTGTTTCTTATGATTGTACACTTTTCCTCTTCTTTATAATACATAGGGAAAACAAATAAATGTACACATGAACAAACCAATACAACTAATTGACATAAATCTTATTCTAATACGTGACTGTTATTTAGTTTCATAGAACATAGTCCATGGCATGGGATTGGCATTCACACAAATAATGTATTAATCGATCCCTGAATCGAAGAGCGTTGCCTTTTGTTGTTCAACAGTTGTACAAGGCACAAGGGATTTACTATACACCTCACCACATATCATATACCGTTCTCAGGCCACTGGGTATCATTGGACAGCTCTCTGCTAAATTTTCTTTCCTTTTCAGCATGAAAGTTGGCAACACTCATTTTGATAACACTGGGTGGTCACAAAAGAAGAGATACTCCAGACATCAAGTAGATAGACTGAAATTGTTTTTATCAGCATATATGTACAAGCCAGCGTACGGAAAAGCGATCTTCGGTGACCAAGTTGAAGTACGTAGCGGCATGCCTCTATCGTCCCAACTCTCTCAGTCACGACTTTCGGTGTTGGCGCCAACATAAATATACAAACATCTGCCGGTGGTACTGAACTGTCTCTTATCAGTTCCTGCAGAACCTAGCGGTGACTCCGAATCACGAGGCCACAGCGCAGCGTTGAGCTAAACAAAACTTAACAAAACATGGGTTTAAGGCGTGAATGAAGGCTGAAGTTTGAAAGCTAGACGAAGTCGTTTTACGGTGCCCAAAGTCCATGTTTGATGTTTGTTCATGGCTAATGGTTCACGTCGAGTACATGTTAAGTGGTTTTATAACGTCGCCATGGATGGAGATAAAAATGAAGGATTGATGCAAAATATTCAAAGCTACATATATAACCATTCCTGGGAGAAATTGAAGTTGGAGTACAGGGGTATTCAATATGCTGGGCCCAGAATAACAGTACTTGACCCTTGACTAACTAAATGTCATTTAGCAAGGTGAAATCTTCCAGGCATCCCTTTAGATAGATAAAACTGATGTAAGAATGTGGCAGGCACGGTAACATACAGCTTGAAAGCTCATCTAACTTGATATCAAACTTGACTGGTAAGAAAAATTCATCTAAAGATTGTATCAGTACATATCCTTAGTTACTCATACTTGTTCTCACAATCTTTCACTCAACTAACTGAT